AGCCGCATCTTCAGGAGCTTCATCTTCATCTCCCCTGCTCTCAGATCCACTTGCAGAGTCTTCATCATTGGAAAGAAAAGCTCCGGCCTCATCCTCCAAAATCTTCGCACTCTCGATATCAACTGTGAGGTCGAAGCCACGATCATGTACCTCCTCAAGAGTCTCTCTTTGAGACTGGCACCTAGCATGCTCGGCAACACGGGACAATCTAACCTCAGTAGCGTCAGAAATTTCCTTTGCCCGAGTGTTAGCGGCTTCAGCGTCAGCTTCGTAGGAGGCCACAAGCGCCTCTGCCTCAGATGTGGCCCTTGCAAGCTCAGCGGCCATCTGAGTCTCGACCTCTTCAACCTTCTGGGCTTGGGCCAAGTTCTCCCCCATCACACTTTGGAGTTGATGCTCAACCGAAGACAGTTGGGCCCGAATCGCATCTTTCTCCGAGGCGAGACGGTCCATGTTATGCTTCTACCCCAAAGTCTCTGCCTTGTTCATCTTGGCCTCCTCACGAAGCTGCTCAACCAATTCGGCCTTCTGCTGAACCTGCAGGATCAAAGTGTTAGTCTCCAATATCAAGTCAATAGATAACAAGCTCCCAAAAAATTACATTACCCGTTCAATGAGCTCGGTCTAATCTTGATGAGCTCTTGTCAGCTCGGCTCGAATGCTCATGATATCCTCTTCTTTTTACACATAGAGGAGTTTGAGGGCGTCTCTCTCCAACGTAAGATTTTTGAGATCATCCTTACATCGAGCCAGCTCAGCTCGTTATTTGGAGGACGCTTCTCGATGGAGCGTCGTAGCCTGTACAGAAAAGAAGGAAATTAGACTTAGAGAAATAAGAACAAACGCAAACATGGTAACATGGGCTAAAACTCATTTAGTTCAAAAGTTGTTGAGCCTCATAAAAAATGAGTGATGAGTCTAGGTCGGGAACATCATCGACCCCTATGAAGCAGCCGCGAAATATTTCATCCCCTTTGGGGGCCGTCCCCACATCGGGGGTCCCCATGGACCGGGCATCCCTAAACTGCCCCTCAGAGAACGTGGGGGGTAGGCGGCGAATCATCAATGTTAATTGCCCCGAGCGAGTCACTCTGGAGATTCTATTCTCTCTGAAGGGCCTCAGAACTGGACCCTTCGGGAACACCCGCCGGTTGGTCACCACGACAGGAGGCATCATCAACACTCGATGACTCGGGGACTCTTCTTGGACCTTCCTTTGAGATCACCTCGGTCTGTGGCTGAACCTCCTTGACCTTCACCGGCTCAGCAGTTCTCGAAGCTTCGATGCCTCCCCTCTTCCGAGCCACCAGTAGGTAGTCGACATCTTCTCCCTTCTCATCTTCATCTCGTAGTGTTTGGACTACATCGGCAGATAGAATGGTGTGATCGGTATTCGACTTTCGATCCCTGTTTTTCCTAGGCTTCGGGGTATCTAGAGACGAGGCCCTTCTCCTTTTCTTGTCTTTGGTCGACTTCAGTATCTCCTCTTACCCGAGGGAACCAGCCTCATGACGACATTATCTCCAAGACCTGTATGAGAAGAAATCAAGTTAAAAAAAAGGAATTTCACAGGAAAGCATCAAACACGGACATGGGAACTTACCATGATTTTTGGCCTCCCATCGACCCTTGGCCAAATCGCGCCACGAGCGCTCAGCATACGAAGAGGTTGAAACCAGTTGTGGAATCCAACCTGCAAGGTCCGGGACTGCACTAGGAAACCAAGGGGAAGCTACACTAGAAAGAAGAATATAGATGAGAAGAGGTAAAGGAAACATAACAAGTAATCAAACGTTATCGGTGAGGTTCTACTTACGCTTCATGTTCCATTCTTCGGGGAATGATATCTTCTCGGCAAGGATTAAGTCGGAGGTCCTGACTCAGACAAACCGGCACATCCATCATTGGTCATTGTCCTCGTCTATGCTCGAGAATAGCACCTTCATGGCTTGGCACTGAAGCCTTATCATTCTACCCCGATAAAGACGACGGATGTATAGCCTAATGAGATGATCAAGAGTGAAATAAATCCCTTCGACCTTGCTCGAGAAAAATCTAAGCAAAATGACAATGCGCCAAAAAGAGAGGTAGATCTAGCCTAGGGTTACCCGGTATTGGTGGCAGAAGTCGATTATGAGATGATCAAGAGTGAAATAAATCCCCTCGACCTTGCTCGAGAAAAATCTAAGCAAAATGACAATGCGCCAAAAAGAGAGGTAGATCTAGCCTAGGGTTACCCGGTATTGGCGGCAGAAGTCGATTATGACATGATCGACTGAACCCAGTGTGAAAGGGTAAGTATACATACTTAAGAACCCTTTCACATGAGTGGTGATGTCCTCCTCGGGGGTAGGAATCACCACCTCTTTATTCTCCTAGTGGCAATCTTTTTTCAGTTACTCGAGATCGCTTTCGGATATCGAACAGGTATATCTAGACATAGGCTCACATCGGCCATGAACCGAAGAGGGTTTTTGGACTTTAAAGTCGGAAGTAAGTTCACATGGCCCAGGATGCACTCTTCGATGCGTGGCTCCACCGGTGTTTTGCCACCGGCCGACCGCGATGAGGAGGCCTTTTTTCTTGAGGAACAGTCTTTGATGTTTTTGCCATTGCTATATGAGGTTTAAGGAAGAAGAATGCAGAATTTGTATTTTAATAAGAGATTGGCAAGCGGAAACCAGCAAAGTTGATGAACTTGAAGAGAATAGAAGAGCTTTTGAAGATTAGAAGAAGTTTGAAAGTAAAGTTTGAGAAGATTATGAAGATGGTCTATTTATAATAGCCATTTTGATGATTTGAAAGCTCTGGTGGCCGATCATCAACTGGCGTTAATTAATGACCTTGGGAACTGTGCAGAAGCGACGCTTCAATCGCTTACGTCACGATGTTTGACATCATAATTGTTTGAGGTATTAAATCGAAGTCTCGAATTTGTTTCTTCTCGCTACACTCCAAAAAATGAGGGGACTATTTGTATACGGTCAAAATCGGGTATACCCGATTTCGTTGGCAGGGGAGTTGCTTCGAGGGTAACCTCATAATATATCGGGCTCGAGCTCGAAGATGTTCTCAAGCCTGGAGATCGAAGTGTTCATTGAGATCGAGGCCAGCAACAATCGAGATCAAGCATGACTGACTTCAAGTAAGGCGTAATAACGGAATAGCGAGATATCAGTAACCAGTCGAAGATCACGGCGGAAATCCCGGAACAAATCAAATCAAAACGATTATTAGTGCCAATAATGGGATCTACTTCCGTTATTAGAGTTGTACATTATTTAGGATTCCTCTATTATATAAAGAGGGATCTCATTCACTTGTAATGGGAGAATAATAATTCCTTGATAAGAATATACGCATGCACGCTGCCTTCTTTGTTTTACTTACTATTCATCGATGTTTGTTCTATCCTCTACTGTTCTTATTAACTAACCTCGAGACTATCTCGAATCGAGGTCGAGACGTTGTTTGCAGACCGATTTGATTTATTTTATTTTTCAATTTATCTATTTAATTCGTTATTTATCAATTGTTACTGGTTAAATTACATATCCTTAAAATCACAATATAAGTTTAATTGTTATTCAATTTTTAGGGTAAACACTACTATTATAAATCACTATATAAAAAAGAAATTTATTCATATTAGAGAGACTACTCCGAGAGAAATAGGAGAAAGAGAATACAAATTTGATTGAAATAAAAAAGAGAAGAAATTAAATGTGTGGTAGAAAAAAGGAGAAGGAAAAGAAAATTAAAAAGAAAAAGGTCAAAGTAATGAGGGATAATTTAGAAATATAAATTTATTGTATTTTTGTTTTTAACAAATTAATTATATTTAGATTCTTCCAAATGCAGAAAAAAGTGATGCTGCTTGAACTCAAAAATATTTTTTATTTTGGCCAAACATAGTAAATTTTTCAATAAGTATTTTCATCGTAAAATATATTTCTGACTTCCTAAATGTTTGGCCAAATATGCTCTTAATTAACATTGGAAAACCATAGACAACTGGCATTCACTTGCAAATATATTTTATTGACTAGCTGCCGTTTTATCAAAATACTTAGTTTAAGGAGTCATCATGTTGTGGTTAGTGGTTGAAAGTTTTAGACAACTGGCACTCACTTGCAAATATATTTTATTAACTAATAGCTGTCGTTTTATCAAAATACTTAGTCTAAGGAGTCAGGTTAGTAGTTGAAAATTATAGACAACTGGCAAAATATACTTCGTTTAAAGAGTCATCATGTTGCGGTGAGTAGGAGTGTAAAATCGAACTTTAAAATCCTAACGAATCGAAAAGACAAATCAAAACAATTAAAAAATTCGATTTGGTTTGGTATTAAGAAAAAAAAACTCGAAACACATATAAATATATAATTTTTATATATATACTTTTAAGATTTTGATATAGAATTTTCTTTAAAAAATATTTAGAAATATTTGGGATTCTTTTTAGTAATATAAATTTTAATAGAATATGAAGTACTCCATATTTTTTGATATTAAATAATGAGTTGTATGATCATTTTCTTATCAAGTGTTATTGAAATGCGTTTATCTTTTTGTTCTTCCATATTCATATCACATGTTAAGATATATTAAATTCTTATATTTTTTTCGATTGTGAAGTGATTATTAATATTTAGGTATCATATTGATTTTTGTTTAATTACTAGATTCGGTTAACCTAAAAGTGTACATCAATAAAAAATTATTGTCAAACGATTAAAAAAATAACTATTATATGTTCCTAATAGAATTCTCTCGTAAGAATATTTTAATCGATAATATGTTTGTCAATTATTTATATTTTTATTAAATATATATTACTTATTAAATATTTAACAAAATAAAATTAAAATAATATTTAAGTAAAATAAATCTGAAAATCAGACAAAATCGAACCAATCTAAACATACATGATTTGATTTGGTTTTATCCCCGGTTAGTGGTTGAAATTATTAAGAATAAAAGAACGACTTGTCATTAAATTGTTGCTCGTTCATTACTAAGAGCTGAAGCAAATCTCCCTCACTCTCTCTCTATATGCAATACATGTAATCCTCACTCCTGTTCACTTACTTACCTAAGAAAGAGAAATGGATCAAGCGGTGGTTGATGCGCTGCTTCCAATGGTGACTAAAGCGGTGAACTTTCTGGTGGAAACCCTGGTGAACGTAGTAAGACAAAATAAGGAGCTAATCAAAGGTGCTGAAGGAGACTTCCATAGTTTGCTGGACGAAGCTCAAGGATTAAATGCCTCACTAGCTGCAGATTATGCAGATCTGAATAAGAACAGCAATCCTACTAAGTGGAATGAGTTGTCCCTTAAAATTCTACGTACTGCATATAAAGCTGAGGATAGCATTGATAAATTCTTGGCTCAGGCGAAGATAGACCAGGATAATACATTGAAAAAACTCTTCCCAGTTGATAAAGTAGTCGACAGATGGACTAAGCTACCGGAGATCAATAAAATCCTCACAGAATTGCGAGAAATTCGCCAAGAGAGTCAACAAGCTATTCAGGAAAGTCCACAGACTGGTCTGCAGCCTGAAAATAGCAGCACTGCACAGCAAACACAGGTATATACTACTCTTTTCTTTCCAATTTATTTGAACCTGTTTGATTGGAGTACTAAGTTTAAGAAAAAATAAACATTTTTAAAATTTGTTATTCTAAACAAGTCAAAAGAGTCCAGAGTGGTTATAAAAGCTTTCTCATTAAGTGTAAAATTGTAAGTTTAAGTTAAATTATTTCTAAATTTAGAAGGAAATATGTTATAAGCTTTTCTTTTTCTGTGGCATTTTCTTTAATTATAACAAGCATAGAAATTAATTTAAAACATTCTATTTTAAGTTTATACAGACATACAAATAATGATATGTTTAATATACAAATCTCAAATGAATAGTAGCCACACAAATGTTATAAAACCAAATATGTCACAAGTTTTTTATTTTTTTCTTAAATACACTGCTTGCTTTAGGAGCTTGCTTAGCTTTTCGAGAACCATTACCTAGGAGCTTGCTTAAGTCCATATAGGGACTTATAAAGTTTGCAGACGCTGTTTAAGCATTGTGTACATCCATTTGAAAGATGGCCCAATGCTTAGCTGCAGCAATGGCTAGAACTAAACTGTAACCATTCCTTTTACAGGAGAGAAGGTCTCAGTGTAGTCCAACCCTTCCTGTTGGTTATATCCTTTTACTACAAGCCTAGCCTTGAACATTTCTAATATATATATATATATATATATATATACATACACAGAGACTCACACACACAGAGAGAGACAATCTCTCTCTCACACACACAGAGACAATCTCACAGACACACAGACAATCACAGACACACAGACACACAGACACACAGACACACAGACAATCACAGACAATCACAGACACTATCACACACTATCACAGACAATCACAGACACACTATGACACACAGACAATCACAGACACACTATCACACAATCAATCACACAATCACAGACACACAATCACACACAATCACAATAGC